GGCCCCCAGCCGCTCCGCGGCATGTGGGATCCTCCCGGACCGGGGCACGAACCTGTGTCCCCTGCATCGGCAGGTGGACTCTCAACCACTGCGCCACCAGGGAAGCCCCCTCCTCAGTTCTTTTTGAAAGAAACAAAAATCAGCACTCTAGAATAGTGTCATATGTTTTCTACTTAGCAATATTCTAATTCCCAGTGTCCTCTAGCTCACTAGATTCTCATAAGATTCTGTAATAAAGAGAATTCCAAAAAAGGATACTCATAAAATCTTCAAATTTCTTCTTTAAAATTGAGAGTTAAATCAGGTTTTATGTATTCTCAGTTTTAAACCTTTAAACTTTGCCTTAAGAAATGTTTTTACCTACTGCAGATCCATAGTAGAGGATCATGAAATCAATCTAGTTAAATCCCAGCATTTTAAATTATTAAACTATACTAGAAAATATCAGAGTGCATGGCTCATGGTAAGGATAATTTCATGAAAGTTTTCTCTTAGTGATATATACTTATAACTGATTACGTGTATATATATATTTATATACACACACACACACACACACGTGGGTGTGGGTGTTTGCACTGGGCTGCAAGAGAAAATGTGCTTCTTACAGTGAGTGGCATTGAAGTTTGAAAGCTACCTGCCTTTGGAATCTGTTCTATGTGAGGAGTGGTGATTAAAACTAGACTACCTAAATATAATCAGTGCACTGAATTATATTGTTTGTTGTTTTCCCTTGATGAATGAACTCAGTTTTCTTCCAAGAGTTGAGATTTGTGACTAGCGTAAATTCGTCAAAATAAAGTAGAGCAACTCAAGTGTTTTGTTTTTGGTTTTAAGGGAGTTTTTTGTTTTTTAACAGGTTAGTCAGATGAATTCCCTTGAACGAGAATTAGAAACAATTCATTTGGAAAATGAAGGCCTGAAAAAGAAACAAGTAAAACTGGATGAGCAGCTAATGGAGGTAAGTTTTTAAGCAAATGGCCTTAGCTATGAAGAATATTTTAATCCATGAATGAGCCATTTGTTGAGAGAGACTAGCATAGCATTAAATTCCTATTATGAAAACAGTGAAAATCTAAGTACATTGCCAAGCTGGATTCTTTGGTCTGTCGTACCAAGTTTGATAGATATTTTTGCTAATTACACAGCCATAGGAATATATACTGCTTCACAGAGGAAGGAATAATGTTGACTATCCTAAAATGCAAGGACCTGTACCTCAACAAATTCAAGTGGCAGGGACTCTGTTCAGTACTGACCAAGAGGCTCAGAGCTCTCTCGCCATTGCTGTGGTTTTAACAGTTTCCTGATACCTCCCACAGTGTAGTGTTTTACAGATGTGATTGCTCTGTAACAACCTGTTCAGTGGGGAAATGCATGCAGGGAATTTAAGAGCATTAGCATTTAGAGGTTTAATTTTCAAGGGTTGCTGTTGTTCATTACTATATTTGTAGTTCAGCACTGCCTTGGGAGAGGTACATCTGATAAATATAAAAGTGGATTTGTAAAACCTGTCAGCTTGGACATTGAGTTTCCAGTCTAATAGATTGCTTTCTGAATACCAAGCACAATTATAGGATGTAAAACAACTTATGTAAAATCCTCCTTAATAAGTAAAAATTTCATTGAGATACTTTGCTTTGGGTAATGAAAATATTAATTAATCCAACATTTAATGACCTGTAAAATTTATATAAGGTAGAGGCCTGGGTAGAAAATGTCTTTCCGTGCTCTTAAAAAGTACTATGTATACAAATATTTTTAAGCCAGAATTATAGGAAGGAAGAGAGATATGTAAATATTTTCTTTCATGAAGCTGGATACATGCAAAGGTAAGTTTCAGTAGATGCTCGGTTTTTAGATATGAAATATGGGCACACATATCACATTGACATTTAAACGACCGCTAAGGTTTCTGTCAATTTTATGTTCTCTGATTTATCCACTAATAGGGAGATTAGTGAAACTATAAAGAGTGAAATCCAAACCATTTTTTACTTCTCTGACAGCGTATAATAAATGTGTTTAAAACCTTGGGCTGCGGGCTGTGTTTAGATGTAGATATGCTTTTCTGATGAAATAATTATATACTTTAATGAATAAGATATCTGAAGCTAAGCGTGACATGTCTGGTACCTGACTGAAAAGTAACAGGGTATATATACTTAATCACTGTCAGATTCTCTCCAAATGCTCTGCCAGCAGGCCAGTTCTCCCACCATTCTCTCTGGCCTCAGAAGCCCCCTTCTCTCCCAATCCTACTTTACACGATTAATCATCATAAGCACTTTCCCCTCATTACTCTTCTCCCTGATCTAGTAGTAAATATTTGCTAATGGATGAGGGAAATTGAGTGTTCTTGGCACTGGAGCTGGAAAAAGAAAAAGCATGAATTTTTAATTGGAACACTGAAAAGAACATCTCATACACTATTCTAATTAAAGTTTCATTAGAAATAAGACTGAGCTATGAATTCTGTACAGACATATAAATTCGATTCTTCAGCAGCCTTATTAAATGTAATTCACACACTGCACAATTCATCCATTTAAAGTGTCTAATTCAGTGGTTTGGGTATATTACATTATTTTAAAAATTGTGCTAAGTATATATATAGATAGATAGATATAAATGGTTAAAATGACAAATTTTGTTAAGTGGCATTCGGTGGCATTAATTACTTTCACAGTGTTCTACAACCATCACCACTACTTCCAAAACTTTTTCATCACCCCAAACAGGAACACTAACCATTCACCAATAACACTCCATTCCACCTTCCCACCAGCCCTGTAAATTGGATTTTTATTTATGTTATGATATCTACAGATTAGGCCAAATTTGAGGATGAACAGTGGTTTTCACACCATTTTTTGTGCCCACCTGACCTGAGGGATAGGTACATGCCTCTCACTCTGGCATGGATTCTCTTCGGGTTTGGGGGAGAGGCAGTAAGTAGGCAGGGAGATGTTCCTACATCAGAATCTTTGGGATCTAGAAATTTAGGGAAAGCTTTCTAGGTGATTCAATCTGATGTATGCACCCCCTTGGGGGAAGGGGCTTCTCCTCATCCCTATATGCCAGTTTGAAAGTCACTGATGTAACATAATACATAGCCCTACCCCAGGGTAATTAAAGATCCCAAATCACTAGACAAGGATATGGAAGAATCTGCCTCCCACTCCAGGGTTTTTTCCAACTGTATGAGGCAGGGTTCTATAAGCAATTCATTTTGATCACTCAAAAACAGGGTTATAGACTATTAGCAATTCTTAAAGTCTGTTGTGTACCTCTTAGCCAACAGTTCAGACACTTGAACGATAAAAATGTTTTATAGTTTATATTCTGCATCTCCACATGGCAAGGTATTTAACATCAGGTCTATTCCATAGTGGACTTGAAATCTTCTGAATTATTATATTGGGATGGGTGGAGGTAAAGGTAGCAAGCTCGTAAACCAACCAAATTGCAATAGATGAGGAAGTGGCTGCAGAATTAGAGCTGTGAGACATTTTAATATCTGTAACATTTATATACAGAGAAATGTAAATGTTGGTTCTTTATAAGTTCCTACTGACTAGAGCACATGTGGTCAGGTATATAACATACCCAATTTGTACTGTTCTTTCTCTTTATAACTCATATTTTCTTCCTCTTTGTATAACTCCTTAATTCTCTTTTGTTTTTGTTTTATCTGTGGCTAACCTGTACCTAGAACTCTGTGGTTGGAACTAGCAGAGAAGGGTGCAGTTCTCTGCCTGAGATAGTGTGTGAAGGTAGAACATTCTTTCAATGAATTTCATGGCATGGAGACATCTCATTAAACTCCTTGTTCATGTAATCATTTCTACTACTATGACAGTTAATAAATACTTAAGGTAAGAGCCAATATTCATTTTCATTTTGCTTTAATTTTGGAATATATCTGTTTACATTTACATCAGGATTTTCCTTAGTATTTAAAGACGTGTGTGAAGAAAATCATCCCGCTGATATAAAATCAGGGAATCATAATTCTCCATATTCTTTATTCTTAAAAATAAAGTGGTGGGTTTTCTAAATCTATAACTAGAAATATTTCAAAATGGGTAACACCCCACCTCAGAAATTTAGATTTAAGGAAATGGATAGTGGCTCTGAAGTTTCATGATAACATTTAATTGTAGATGTCTTAGAGGGCCTTTTTCCCTTCTCACATGCCTGGGGGTGCTTCTTCTTGAGTTTAGTACTTGGTCATATTTCTTGCATGTCTTCCATTGGGCTCTGTGTCCGCTGAACGTGTTGACAGATGTGAGGTGGCATGCTTCACTAGCCAAATGCAGTGCCTTCTCCTTTCCCTCGCTCCAACTTTGATTGGCTTGCGATACACATACCATTTCCTCATTGTCTTGAATAAATACTTTCATTCCATGTACTTCAATTCCCAGATGTTCTGGGGTATCACCTTATGCCCCGGAATTGCCTGTCTGATAAACTAAGATAGGTTAAAATAATCTGAGATGCAAGATGAGAATCTTCAAAACAAATTGCTAACTTGGAAAAAATGTAGTCATTGAACATTCGCTCTTAAGAATCTTTATGAATGGTAAGTGGCAAAACTCTAAAGCATAACCTCTTTCTCCCCTTTGCCTATTCCAACCCTGTTTTTTTTTTTAAAAAAAAGAGGGATAATTAAATGTTCTAGTGTAAGAAGAAAAAAGGAGAATTCAGACATATGTACATCATGTACCTCATGTCTTATAGTCACTTAAGAATGAGGAAGTACAGTTTAAGTCTAAAACTTTTAAGGCCTCTGCTTATTCATTAAATGTATTATCTCCTAAGCAAAATGATTCTTTATTCTTACTCAGGATCATGTGCTGCCTGTTTTCAAGTTACCGGTGAGTCTGAGAGGCCATTAATGAATTCATAGACTTCATTACTCTCTGCTTGCCACTTTCAAGGGCAACTCTGATTGAAGGCACTGCAGCTGACCAGGGCTTTGCCCTTATCCTCTAGATGCAGCACCTGAGGTCCACTGTGATGCTTAGCCCATCCCCTCATGCTTGGGATCTGCAGCTGCTCCAGCAGCAAGCCTGTCCAATGGTTCCCAGGGAGCAATTTCTGCAGCTTCAATATCAGCTGCTACAGCCAGAAAGGATAAACCAGTGCCTGCAGGAGGAACTTGAAAACAGGACTTCTGAAATCAACACACCACAGGTATGAGCATCTTTTTCTAATAGTAAACTCAGATCACCTAATTTAATTTTACCTGCTTATTTGAAAGTTATACCAGTTCACATGTGGGGATGAAGAACCCAAATCTTTTGTCAGACAGTTACACCTTACCTCAATTACAAATCCACAGAGCTGCAGTGCTGTTTTGGTTTTGGATTTTGCAGTGCTGTTTTTGAGCTCTCAGCTTCTAAGCTAGATAATTAAGTGTTCTGGGTCTCCTTTGCACATTTGTAATCGATGATGAAGTCTCAGGATCACTTGAGCATATTGCACAATTGACCTAACATTCTTGTCTAATGCCAAAGATATTACAGAATTCAAGTGCAACTCTAGGATATGTATTACTAACAAAGCATCCTGGGTTTTCTTGTACCAGAGGAGTATAGCCTGCTGAGTTCCATGGAATTCACAAATGGGGACTTTTCTCAACTAATAAAGTAAAATGTGTCATCAGTGACTTTTTTAGTTGACATAGTTCATTTAACTTTTTTAATGATCTAGTTTGAAAAACTCTATTTTTAAGAAAATAAAGATCTTGTTCCTCTTCCCTTTGAATTAGCATTATCCCAGCTCACTACCAGACACAATCTTATATTACCTAGGTTTTCAAATAGTTATTTCTCTTTAGTGCTTCATTCATGATTCTCCTCTTTCAGAAGTCTCTTGACTCTTTGGTCTTGCCCATTTATTCAGAATTAGGAATAAAATTAAAAATACTCCTTAGTTTGTAGAATTCTAAATTAGTTTGTTCTAGTTTGGATGCTCGTCTTCTGTTTTCAAATACCTTGCTTTTCAGTTGATGTTTGACAAGGAATTTCCCACCTCTCTTTCTGTAATCCCCTCACCCTGGCTTTGCAAAGTCACATTAGCACCATAATTATACATTGTAGCAACTTGGTTTTCTTCTCCTACTAGTATATATCTATGCTTTTGCATGATGTACTTCTGTCATCTATTCTTTCTAACAAAGGTTTAAAATCCATGTTTCTGGAAGCTTCCTACACTCAATTTCCAAATACTAAAGTTTAATTCCAGAATTAAAACTGTGATGGTGGGTGTTGGACAGATGCTTCAACTCTTCATTAAAAACTGAGTGACCTCAGTTTTTAATGGACATTTAAAACCAAATGATTAGACTAAGATCCTACTCATTGCTCTTTCATATACACTATTTTCAAAACATGCTCTTCCCAACCCACCCACCAGTGTTTAATCCTTTTACTTCAATTATTTGAGGATTAGATAGACAAAATTTGTTAAGACTTTTGTACTTAAAAAAAAAGAAAGAAAGAAAGAATTTCTCCAGATGGCAGGGTGGACTGCTTATTGCTCTCACTAGAATGCCATGGCAGGCTCTCCTGTTTCTGGTAACTAAGCTGACACTAATTTTAAGAATACAGAGTGCTATTAGAATCTGCACGTTGTCTGTGTGTGTAGAGTGATGTGATTTCTTCTGCCTTGTGTTGCTTCGCTTGCATATGTAGTATTGATGTTTGCTTTTAAAAATTGTTTGCATTATAAATGTGTGAATTTAGACTCCCCCCAAAAACATAATCTTGACATCAGGGTGAAGTGTACCACTTGCCTTCTTTCTCTAGGCCTTGCTACCGGAGCAGCGAGCAGTGCATGCAGATTCCTACAGAAGGATTGGGCACCTGTGAACACTGGGCTGTTATTGCTGGCATTTCTTACCATGGCAAATACTCAAATGCACACACCCACACACACCACACAAACAGAGACATAAGCTGAGAAATGTTTTGGAATCAAGTGCTCTTTTAAGTTTATTATTATTATTGTTAAGCCTTTGCAGTATTATGTTTCCTATTTATGTAGAAATGACAGATTTTGTGAATCAAATTCACAAATTTCAGCTTGTTACACGTAATAATTTATACGATTTAAAGAGTGTGGACTTGAGATTCTTGAAAGGATGTATTCTATATATTTTCTCATTCCATATGTTGTAACTATTTTTAACAAAAGGTACTACTTTTATATGTGAAATTTGAAGAAAATCAGGGTTATTTATACTGTTTTATATAAGATGTATAATGCTTTTTTGACAGGAAAAAGGAAATTTTTGATGAAATAAAATAAATTTTAAATATATGACTGCTTTTGTTTTTCCTCTTTCCCCACTCTTTTGCCATGCCCCGTGTTCTTTGAAGTAATTATCTGGGGTTTTTATGGTTTGTTTAGCTTTTTTTTTTTTTTTTTCTTTTAAGGCAAGTGGAAATCTGGCATTTTCCGTTTATGTTTGAACTTTAAAAAGCCATTATAACTTTTAAAATATAGGATTTTAGATGTTCTTAAGACCTGGTTTCTTGAAATTTTGCATTAGTCTTTTGCCTACTACAATTTTTCTCTTCAAATTAGTCTCATGGCTTAGTTTCTTTTATGCTTGAATAAATGTTATTATTTAATATCCAAACAAACACATGTTGGCTTTCCACTCACATTTGGTCATTCTTTTTGTGCTTTTTAAAGGACACCTTTTTGGGAATATTTTTAAGGACAGGTTATGCCATCAGCCACTAATACCTGAGTCTTGCTTAAACATTTGAAGAACCTTTTCAAATCTGAAATTCTTTTTTTTTTTTGGTACGCGGGCCTCTCACTGCTGTGGCCTCTCCCGTTGCGGAGCACAGGCTCCGGATGTGCAGGCTCAGCGGCCATGGCTCACGGGCCCAGCCGCTCCGCGGCATGTGGGATCTTCCCGGACCAGGGCACGAACCAGTGTCCCCTGCATCGGCAGGCGGACTCTCAACCACTGCGCTACCAGGGAAGCCCTGAAATTCTTTATGTGAACATTTTGGTGGACTGGAAGAACGGGCCGTCAGTTGCACTCTAAATCTTGTTCCAGGTCACTCTGCGCTCCAAAACCCACACACTCCTTAATCCATCACTGTTGTATGAGGAGAGAAGGAGAAGCCAGGGTCCTTTTTCTGCCGTATTGTTTTGCCTAGGAGTTTTTTTATGGGGAGATTGTCAGTTTTAAATCTGTTCTAATGATAAACCCATCCTCCAATTCAGATATGTGCTTCACATTGACAGGTCAAATTAGGAAACCAATAACCAGAATAACTAGCAGGAAGAGGCTATTAGAAACACTAACACCCTCACAGTAATCAGCCATTTCAAAGGAAAAACAGACACATATTGCAAGCTAATTGGAAATGTTAGGTGATCCTAAATAAACTCAGTTTTTGATTATTTTGTTGTTGAGAGGCCCACAGTATTGCAAAGACCCAAATCACAGATGAAAGGTTGAGAGCCATCTTTTAATTTACTTTGGATACCTATTTTACTATAATAAGTACACACAGATCTTAAATTATGGGTTTTAAGAATTTTGCTTTATCTCAGGGGAAGATAGTAACACAGGTAAGATTCTTCTTTTGTCTTTGATTCTTTCTCTAATAGGGTTACTTTTCTAACATGTGCAACCCATGCAGTGTTCAGAGCTCCCATTTCATCAGAAATCCACCCTTCCTGTTCAAAGGCAAACATTTGCTGTCCTTTCTCTAGGCATTTTATGGGGGAAATTAACTATTAGTGCTTTTGTGTGGCATGATTTTCAAATGATAATACAAATTTTTTTCTTTCCTTCAGGGAAACCAGGAACACCTGGTAACTGTCATGGAGGAACGAATGATGGAAGTTGAACAAAAATTGAAACTGGTGAAAAGACTTCTTCAGGAGAAAGTGAATCAGCTCAAAGAACAAGTGAGCCTCCCAGGTCATCTCTACCCACCCACCTCATATTCAACTTTAACTCCAGTTTTACATTCCTCTATTGCTATTAACTTGTTAACTTTTGTTGTCTAATAAAAGCAAATTCTATTATAAATGTTTAGAAGAATTTAGGAGTCACTCTTTCCCATACCACTTCAAAAATATGAATTCTGTGTTCTACATTGTTTTTTTCCAAAGTTCTTTTGAGTCATATGTTTGTCTACAATTTAAAAAATGTATATTTGCTAGCAGTGACTCTCATGGACCTAAAGCATTTCTAATGAGGTTCAATTTAAATTGAAATTTTGTAGATTTTCCTATTTAAATAAAAAGAAATTTTATATTGGTAAAAAATTGGGGGATAATAAGTGTAACTTTAGCTTTCCTGTTTGCAACAGCTATGACAGCCTCAAAAACAACCTTATGGCTATAGCCAGACCCCAAAAGGTTGTGTTTTGAATTAGAATCTGGACTCTTGAATTCAGGACCACTAAGTAGCCTGATCCTTTTTTCCTGCTGGTGAGAGGTGTGGCCTCAGTGCTTAGAAATTATTTGTGCATCCACTGAAGAGACATACAAGAAAGACTACTTTCTAGGAAAGTTTTATAACTTCTCTGGAATCTGAGATTGAGACAAACTGTGGTGGGAGTGGGAAGGTGGAAATTGCCCAACCTGGTTTTTCAGATATATAAAATCCAAGAAGAATAATTCCAAGGGAAAGTCTAAATGCAGAGGTAGACAGGAACTTTCCTCAGCCCTATATCTTAATACACAGAATGGAGAGAAAGAGAAAGTCCTGTATTTACATTTATTGATTCAATCCTTTAATCATTTATTCAACACATAGTTACTACATGCTAGGTTCTGTTCTAAGCACTAGAAATACAGCAATGAACAAAACAAAATCCTGCCTATATGGAGTGTAGTTCACTTACTACAGCTACTAGTGTAGTTCACAGTACTAAGCATTTGGCCAGATAGCAGTTTCAAAAGTAAAGAAAATGGGTAACATGGGGTGTGGTCATCTACAAACACTGGCATTAACTGTTCATCCTGTCCTGGAAGAAGAAAAAGAAATGAGAGATAGGGAAGAGCAGACAGTAGAGGGTCTTAGTGCTAAGCCACAGAGTTTGAATTTCATTCTGTAGTAGATAAGAGTCATCAAAGTGTTTTTTAATGGCAGGAAAGGAGGAAAGTTTGTATAAAAACAGTTCGATAGAAAGTATGTTAGTATTATGTTAAACTTGCCAGTCACTCAGGTTCTGGGCTTCAGTGTGATAGTCTTTATCATTGCCCTTTGAAATGCTATTATGTAAATTAATTAGCCACTCCTTCTTTATTCCCTTAAACCTTTATACTTGTAGATGCCCTGCCTGAAACTGGGTGTAAAATGAGGAGTTAAAGGTATAATGAGGGAAAGGAGATTATAAGATATTAACTAATAGGAGCAATAATAAAATTATCCTAATGCTGCTGACAAGTTTTCCTGCCCTAACCAAGACTGTATATTCTAACCATAAAGATTAGAATATCTCTTCTAGACAAGGTTTTATACAAACAGGGAGAGTTAAGGAAAAGTAACTGCCAAATCTTCTCTATTTTAAAATTTGGCTCATGTATTATAACGATCAGTAGGTTGTATGTGGTTATGAATGGGAAACTCAAGCACCTATTGTTAATAACAGTTAAACACAGTTCACACCCTCAGAAATTTAAGTTTGATATTTTTAGAGAATGAATAAAGAAATAATACCTAATTTATTAGGTTGAAAAATATCTTCATTTTTGAGCCCTCAAATATCAATTTGTTCTTTTTATTAGTGACTTCTACAAACATATTATGCAGAGAAACAGCTTGGAATAAGTGGATTTGCTCTACTTGTATCCCTGGTGCCAGGTCTGATGTTAAAGCTGTAGTGTAAAATGAAAGAATATAATTGATAGAAGCCATTTGCCTTTATAAACAACTGTCCTATGTCAGACCTTAAATTTAAGAGAATTACAGAAATGGAGTCAAGATGTTTCTGGTTCTGTTTCTAGCTCTGCAAGAATACTAAAGCAGATGAGATGGTGAAGGATTTGTATGTGGAAAATGCCCAATTGTTGAAAGCTCTGGAAATAACTGAACAGCGACAAAAAACAGCAGAGAAGAAAAATTACCTCCTAGAGGAGAAGATTGCCAGCCTCAGTAATATAGTCAGGAATCTGACACCAGCACCACTGACTTCTACACCTCCCTTAAGGTCATAGCCAAGCCAAAGGATAAACACTCATAATTGTGCACTTTACTGAAATGGATGGAGCATTTCAGTATGTTCTCTCAACCGTTGTTTTTTGTGGGGTTTTGTTCGGTTTTTTTTTAAACTTTAATGGCTTAAAGTTAAGCCTAGCGTAAAACTTCCAGCAACAGAATTAAAATCTCCATTCATTGTAATTAGTTTTTCTAAATAGACTATAATGGAAGTTGCAAACAAATACATATTTCACTGTTTGAATTATTCCCAAGCTTTGAATTTTTAAAAATATTCTAATAGCCACCAAGAAGGTGATATGAAAACAACTCTAGAATCTTAAAACCCCAGTTTTGAATGAGTTTTTGAAAATTACTATTATGTGTAAGTTTATATGTAAATTGCAGATATTTAAAAGTTGAGAAATTATTAGCTGGCTGTTTTGATCTTTATTTTATAACCAAATGTACGCCTTCTCATACATTTACATATGAAAAAGTCATTCCGTTTCTAATAGTTCTGGTTTTTTGAATTAATTGTTAGACTTTCTGTTTGGTAAGAGAAGCTGGTATTAATAACCACTGAGGTCAGAAATGCCAGAGTCCATAGAACTCTACCTTCTAACACCTATGACAGTATTACCACTCTTTATGTATTACAGATCTAAACTCATTTACTCAACTGCACTGTTAACTAATGTTAAAACTTTACCTTCTTTAAACAGTCTTTTTCTTTTTTTTTCCTTCTTAGAAGTTTCATTTGGGAGCTTGTCTTCTAAGAAATGGATAAAGCCACATTTTTAAAGCATTTGAACTATAGGGTAAGCACTGAACAAACTGCTTTGGAGTAAACAGCTACTCCTAGAAGAGAGAGAAGTAAACCATGTGGGTTTTTCTCTCTCTAAAGTCTTGGATTTCATGAACTTATATTTGGGGTTGCCTCAAGAACTCAGGGAACAATACTTTAAGACGTCTTCCTGAAATACTGTAGGGCCTCGTTAAGAATTTGAAATGTGTAAACCATGTGACCTTATTTATTTGTCATATATTTAGAGCCATAGTGGGATTTTTATTTTTATTTCATTTTTAGTGAATTTAATTTTCTGGAAAAAGGCCTTGATTTTAGAGTTAAAAACCTCTTCTAACATATGGAAGAGTTATTGTTTGCTTGTTTGTTTAATATAGGTCAAAATTTCCATGCTTCCTATTCCTCTGCACCTCAAATCTGATCATAAGAATTTCTTACTGTGATAAGCATTCACATGCCATCTGAGGTAAAGGAGTGCCAAATAGGATTTTTCCATTCAGTCTCAAGACTAGAACATTATAGAACAGTAAACATTTTGAATAACTTTTTTCCCCAGGTAAAATCTCTGCTTCTAGCCTACTTCAGCCAGTAGTTGGTTGGTAAAGAACTTACCATGTGGGACACAAACAGAGCTCATCACAGCCACCTACAGAGCTCATCACAGCCACCTATTTGTTTTTGTGGAAGAGTAATTAGATCAGAAAAATTCACTTTGATATATTCCAGGAAAGCCAAGCCCATCAATTTATAAGAGGTATCACAGGAAAATCAAACACTGCCTTATGGGCAGGAAAAAAAGATGAAGCAAACTGCTTAAGAAGCCACGTCAGAAACTCAATATCAACAAAATAATTTGCATTAAGGAACTTTAGAGTTCCTTGGGCCTAACCATATACTATTAGTCCTACCTGCCAACACAGGAGTCCTTGCTACAAGAGCCCTGACAAGGCAAGGTCATTTGTGGGACTGGGAGTTCATGCTTCAGAAGCAGACTTTTTCACTTTTGAACAGCTCTATTATCAGAAATTCCTGATTTTCCCCTGGAAAAGAATTAATTTTAATCCCTCCCTATAATTATACTTCAAAACATTTGATATCTGCTGTCATGCCTCCCCTAATCATTTTTCTCCAGTGCAAACATTACTAGTAAACTCAACTACTTGTATGGCATTGACTTTAACACTTAAAACTGTGGATAGGCCTAGGTTAAGGTCATAAATAAACTAAGCACCTGTGGTATATTTATGTGATATGCTTTAAGTTATTCAAGGTTTTTGCCATCAGAAATGAACACCAAGCATATTTCTCAAATAGATGGCTTACCATATGATCACATATGTTGTATTTTTTATCTTTATTTTTTACATTATGAAAAGTATAGGTTAATTTGTTTCTTATAAATCTGTATGTGTATATAAAGTGTTGTACAATGAATGTAAATATGACTTCTGGAAAATTTTAGACTACATTTAGAATCCCTTTATCTAAAATCAAAATGCTGCTCAAATGAAAGTTAATTTAACTAACACCTCGGTGCTTACTTCTTGCTTCACTGCACTCATAAAATTGGAAAAAAGATCAATACAAGAAATATATAGTTACCTTAAATTATATATTTGTGCAGCAGATTATTTTTTTAGACTAGAGTGGGAATTTAACTGGCAATTTATAATATAGCTTACAGCTTTTAAAAGGCCTTTTAAAGAGATTAAATGTAAACTATTAAATGTTTAGATTTTGCTTTCAGATTTTATAATAGAACTCTTTACAGTCACCTTATATATCTTATAGGCATTTAACTCCTCATTTATTAAAAGTACTGGTTGTTAAATTCTCTTGATTTCTTAAGAACAGTTATTTAAATTAGTCTTAGGAGATAGGATCTTCATTTCAAGGAAAGAGAATCAAGTTTGCCTTTGTGATAATGTTACCCTTAGAAAAGGAAAGTGTGGATAATACAAACTACATTGTTCTATTTTGCTTTCTTCTGCTTTTTAGAAGCCTGAGCTATTAAGTTCAAATTTGTGAAGGAAGAGAAGTAGAAGAGGAGGGGTAGAACCAATCACAGTACTTATTTTTCTAAAACTTAATAAACCCAGATTTTTTAAAAACTATTTTAAATATAAATTCTTCCCAGAAGCTTCAAATGCATTGTTTATATATTTAACCTTAAACGTAAGTAGATCACAGTCATAGGCTTTCAAGGTTTATGAGGAGTTCTTACAGGTCTCGTATTTCAATAATGTAATGTACCAATACCCAGGGCAGGTATTATGATGAGGAACTTTTGTTTTTTTAAGAATGAGTAAGACTTTATGGTGGACTTTAACGTGTGAAAATGAATTTTTTATTTTGTGATTTCTTTTTTTCTGAGTAAAGGAAAAGAGAAATGTGTTGCTACTGTCAGCATTTAAAGGTAGTCTCACTCAAGGCAAGGCTAAGTGCTTCGTGATAGTATTAAGTAAGTCTTGTTTTGAACGGATTACCTAATGACTCACTAGAATGATATAAATTATACAAGTTATGCCAAAACTAAGTCAAAACCTAATAACCAAAGCATTCCTTATTTAAAACTTATTGACTATATCATGTTTGGACCTATTCGAACATCTCAGCCCTGTAAAACAGTTTTGGTTTTATGACATATGGATAGTGGTTTAATAATAAATCCAAGTTAGCTTTTTGTTTCCCAGCTTTTTTTGAATGATATACATTAAATCTATTCTTATTGGAAGACATTATCACAGCATGATTGAAGGGAACATTGGTTTTATAAAGGAAAACCCGAGTTCATCGATAGCCATCACTAAGATTCTTTTCATATAAAGATTAATGCTTATGCGTTTATATCGACTTTGTATATTTCATCTTAGCCATTCTATCCTATAAAGATTTTACCATGAGCTTAAAATGTAAATAAATAATTTTGCAAATATGGCTCTTTTTTTCTATACACCTTGAACTTTTATAAACAGTTTCAGTATGTTTATCATTGGTTTTTAGAGTGAAAGCATCAAAACATTGCACTAAACATATTTTATAAATGCAAAATCTCTGGAGCATTCACTCCAGACCTACTGAATTAGAGTCTGCATTAAAAAAAAAAAATCCCCAAATTATTTGTATGTGATTTAGAGCACTGGGACTCCCATTTCTGTAACAGAATTGATGACTTTCACACCAGCCAGTTTGAGATCCCTGTACCCTGTGGTGGTTCATAATTTACTTCTAAAATCCTGACAAACTCAGGTGAGGCCCTGCTTGGGAGTTTGGGTGCTTCAGAGGTGGCTTTATTTCACTTTGCCATATTTATGGGTGACTCAGACTATTTCAGTTGAGCTTCTTGTAAATGATGAGATATATGCAACTATTGGTATAAAAGTTAACCTAAAAGCACATTAAGTTAACATGCTGAGTACTGAAATTTAGAATGGAAATATTGGCCAAACTAGACATCTCACAAGGCTTGTTTTATTTGCGAAGCTTTTATACCAATCTCACACTGCCTTTATGAGGCAATAACTATTATTAACCCCATTTTACAGATGAGAAAACTGAAACTTAGCTAAGTTATGACTTAATCAAGGCCACACAGCCAGCTAAGTAGGGGACTCAGGACTCTCTAAGCAGGTTTGTCTGTATTAATATGTTGCAACAGGTATCCATTTCTCTTTCCGGCAAACAACATTTAATTGGTGCTATTGAATACTTATCTTGTGCACTGCACTCTAAAGAAAAATATTAAAAATTCTTGGTTTTCTGTTTACAGACTTGAGTAGAGCAGTAAGATTTATGCACAAGAAAAAATTAGAAAAAATTACATCGATACAGAAGACAATCAAGTTTTACTGATGGACTCAGTGCTATAGGCACTAAGATATGGAATATTAGTGCCCTCAGGTATTTTAATACAGGAAATGGGAAAAGTTCTTAACCTAGCATTAAGTATAATTCTGCACTTATTTGAGATTAGTGTAACCTGTTTGTTTTGTAGTCTCCTTTATTCATTTTGCATTGAAAAAGTCTTATTTTTCTAATATATACCTGATATACATTTTCCCATAATAATGATCAAATTTTGTCCAAAAGATCAGAATTTTGACCTAATGCAAAATATCTATAATCTGTAAAGTTAAATTTAATATAGTTAATATGTTATAAGTCACAAAATTGTTTATTCTTTGTTTGGTTTTGCCTCATTTGCAATCAGGAAAAATGGCTAATTTTGACAAATGGACATGTTAAAAAAAATTAAAACTTCAAAAAAGGAACTATAAACTGAATCAG